ATCAATCTCATGCACATCTCTTCAAGAAAAGCACAAAGGCCATAACCTGCAATGCTGTGAAAGAGAAAAGAAGTGTTCAGACAGATGTGAAGCTTCTTCTTTAAGAGCATATTCTGCATAAATTTCATCTAAAACATTAAAAAAATATATAGATGCATTTGATGATTTTTCCATAAATTACCGACATTTGCCAAGAAGAGGTGAAACAGTTAGTAGACCAGCCACCATAATAGAAACTAGAAAGTCTGTCAAATCCATCTTTTCAAAAGGCTTCATGCCCTGATGGTTTTATAGAAAAGTTTTACCTAAATTTAAGGCATAGATACTTTTTTAATATAATAAACTGTCTCAGAACAATACATATTAAGAGAATACAAATGAACAGGTAGTGAAACCTGAACAAGCTAATCCAAAAAAAAATAAAAGAAAGAAGGTAGAAGGCAATTTCACAGATAATAGAAAAGCAAAGATAATAAATCAAATTCTAGTACGTCTAACGCTATAATAAAAGAAAAATACTCCTATCAAATAGCATTTCTTTCAGGAAAGAGAGGGACAGTCAACATTTTTGAATCCATTCCTGTCTCAGAAGCCAGAGAGAAACACCCTCAGCCTGATCATGGATATTGATCAGGGGCCACAGTCATGCCATAATCACCAGCAAAGTTATGAGATGTTCCCAGCACCGCCAGGGCAGAGGCCACGGTCTCCACAAGCCCATACTTGTTCAACGCGGTATGTTTCACTTGAGCTATACGTAGTCTGTATTACAAATATACATAAATACAAGAAACACACCTTTTCAGGAAGTAAATCCGGAGGAAAATGAAATTAGTACTTGTATGTTTTAGAGGTTTGAGCTATTGTTTTGTAAGTAGTAATTTTTAGTTTGTGATTATGTAAGCTTTTCTCTATTACGTTATTAAATTCCACCTCCACCATGGGGTGGCCACCTTAGCACACCTAAACATTCCACCTCACGTGAAGACTCACGGGTGTGGCTAGTTTTGGAGTATCTGTGGGTCTCAGACTAGGAGAGTGTGTTCCCTGTTAATGACTGGAAGACCATTTTTGAACGAACAGAACATTTGAAAGTTTCGTGACTGCAGGGATCACAGCCTCTAGTGCCTCTGATTTCATCAGAGTTTAGACAAAGTAGACGTTTCTTAGTTTATAAGCAGGCACATTCCTTTGTGGTCCAGTTTTCAGCTTGATTTTGATATAAATGTAAAGCAAAACTGTCATCACTTTGGGCCCCTGAGGATTCTTTCTATCCTCTGCTGATACGGTTCTACTTCTCCTGGAGGCTCCTTGACGCTGTCTCCTGAGCTGACATCACTCAGATAGAGGGCAGAGAGCAGGAGGATGGGGTGTGTGTGTGAGACTAGCTGTGTGAGGCACCGGAAGTTTGGGACTGAACAGTAACCGCCGAGGATCAAAGTGTTCTGGGAATTAATTTTACTAAGTAAACAAGGATTCCAGAAACACATCTTGTCCTCAATCCCCTGGTGACTCTCTGTCCTTCCCACAACCACCCTGTGCATACAGGCACTCAAAAAATATTTATTGACTAAGTCTTAGAGTATCTGATGGTATTGAATCAATGTGAATTTCTTGGTTTTGATTACTTGCACTATGGTTATGTAAGACTGCTGGCGAGAGGGAAGGCTGGGGAAATTGTTCAGGGACACTCCATACTATTTTTGCATCTTTCCTGTAAATCTAATTTTATTTAAAGCAACAAGTTTAAAAAAAAAAAACTGGATAGAGGAGGTATTATTTAAGTGGATCTTTAAAGAACAGGGTTTTAAACAGAGCAGTGAGGGAAGAAGAGACCGGGAAGAGGAATGAAAGAGCAGGTTTTCAAAAAGGACAGAATAGCTGGCTGCTCAGCTGGGATGGGAGAAAGATCTTTAATGCAAAGTGCCTCTGAGTCCATAAGACTCGTAGGTGAGAGCGAGACCAAAAGTTCCTGAACGGAGCAGCCACATGACTAACAATATCATTCAGAAACAAAAGGATCATGGGGAGCGAGTAGACTGAAGAGGGGCAAAAGTGGACTCAGGAAGACCACGCAGTTGACTGCTCAGGTATTTAGGGGAGAAAAATTAATGTCCCTCACCCAGGATGGTGTTGGAGGCGAGGCAAGTCTGAGAGCCCCTTCTTAAGGGTGTGGTGGATGGGCCCAGGGGCCTTTCTTGACCCAACAATGCCCGTCCTACTCAAGGACAGTGTCTTCTCATTATCGGTGCTTTATTGCTGATAAGAAGGGGAAAGAGTCTTGCCAATGGAAGATGTTGAGTCAGGTGAGGAGTCTAGCGTTCACTTTCCTGTTTTCCCTTCTTGGGTAGACAACCTGGAGCAAGGGGGGAAGTCCTCAGGCCACTGAAAGGGGCCTCTTGACTATTAATTTGCTCCTTGCCAAGCTTTGTATTAGTTAAGCGTGAATGAATCAGATTCATATGGAGATGGTTTCTTTCAGTTTGACATGTGGATTTAATGCGAAATGAACTTTACACAATACGTTTGGGGTTTTGCTTAACTGAACACATTTTGGAAACAGTTGGAAATTAAGGAAGTGCCCTGAGGCTCTTCAGTCCTGTTTGTTTTGCTATCTCAATATTTGGAACATGACCATCTCCTTAAGGTCTAGAGTTTTCCAGACTTCAGGGTGGAATGCAGCATTGCATTCCCAGAGTGCATTGGTGAACTATCCAAACGTCTAGCAAGGGAGGGCTCCTGGAGACCACCCCTGACGGTCTGCTCCCATGGTGCTGAAACCAGGGTCTGGGTCACATTTCTTGGTCTGATACACTCCTCCTGCAGTTGCCTTCCGAGCCACAGGAAAGACAGACAAAGATGAGAGCAAGGCATCTTCAAAACTCTGGAAGTTAAGTTATCAAACCAACACGAAAGTTCAAAGGCACCTTAAAGGCAATGATTTCTAAGCTACAGAATTAGGCAGAACTAGTGAGCCTTGTCTCTGGCCAACGATGCTGCCATTTTTGGAGATTTTCAAAGCTGAGAATCGCACTCAGCTTTGAGCACAGGCCGGTAGGCCATGTGAGGACAGACCAGCCTGTGGGCCTTTGGGGCTGCTAGCCGCTGGCTATTCTCTGATGAAGCCTCCACCTTCCATCCAGACCAAAACGTCAAGAGGAAGGAGCAGTTTCAGCAGAGGGAGGAAGGTGGCCATGGGAGGTGGCTTTGATTGAGACTCGTATAAACTTGACTACTACCTGGGGAAAAAGAAATAATAATAATAAATAAAACACTAACCACTAGAAGTCCTACCCTTCTTTCCTGGGAGAAAGAGACAAATGCAAAGGAAAGAGAGTTAGCGGACAAGAAGGGGGCAGTGAGGACTGTCGTGTGGCTCTTATGTTGGGTCAAGGTGGATGGGGGTTTGAGCCCCTTCTCCATGTGTCCCATGTCCAGGCAGGTGAACTCGCCGACCTCGGATACCCAACCCATAACATGGGGGTCATGGAAGGTGTGCCTCACAGGGTCACACAGCAAAGGAACATGTGTAAAGGGCTTGGCATGTGGCCAAACACAGATTTTTTTTTTTTAAATGGGGGCAGAAATAGCAGCTTTTGAGGAAAATTTTACCACCTCAGAAGCTAAGGAGAGGTAAGAGCAAGATGGACAGACCCATAGAGGATGAGGAATTCTGCCCTGTTCTCCCCCAGGGGTAACAAAATGTGCCTGCATTTTGGAAACAGAGACTTTGGGGGCAAAATTCCCCCTCTGTCCTCATGTGCAGACTTAAGGGAATCATATCCCTTCTCTGAACCCCACTGCTGGCGGCTTTCATGCTGGGGCTGCAGTCAGCTCAAGGCTCTGCTGAGAGTCCCTTGGGCTCTCTGTCAAAGATCTGGGTGCTGGAACCACACGCATAAACCTTGCAGCTTCCTGGAGATTTCTGCTACCAGTTCTTTGTCGAATCAACCTCATCTTCATGATTCCACACTTTTCAATGGCATCATCTCTTCTCAGATAGTTTTCTCTACTGAATTTCCATCTGAACAGGGCACAAGAGCCCACCCAGACCAAATGAAGCAGAACCACTCGGGTGGGGCCCAGTGATTTGTGTTTGAACAAACTCACCTGGGCTGAGGGTAATTCAGGCTTCAGAACCATGACTCTACCTCCTTAATTAAGTGAGAAATTTTATCCACTTGATCAGTCATGATATCATAAGGATGAGTTGGTCTCATACTACTTCTGGTTTTTGTTGATTTATTTTAGAAGTTTCTAGATTTATGCTTTATGTTGTTTTCCTATGTTATTTACTGCATAAAATACAGTTGCATTATCACTGTAGGTGAGACCATGTATTCATATTTGGTATCCTTTGTGTGTTAGTTTATCATTTTTGCTTTAACTTTATCTTTGTCTGATATTATTGCTGTGACTCCTAGCTTTCTCTTTGTTAACATTTGCTTGGTCACTCTTTGTCTAATCTGATTTCATTAGTTTCTTTTTTATTTACATTTTATTTACATTTATTCTACATTTATTAGTGTCATGTCATCCAAATGTACTAATCAAACATGCCGTTTTATGTTTTACATGTTACTAGCTTTACTTTTGAGATTTTTATTTGTTTTCAATATACTCTTTATTTCCATCATTTGCTCTAAAAATTGCCTTTCCTTTCTTTGCTTTGCTTTCCCCTTTCTTTTCCTTTCTCTCTCTCTTTCTCTTTCTTTCTCTCTTTTCTTTTCTTTTTGATATTTGAGGTATACGTGTGTTTGCCTTCCAGTAATTTGGAGGAATTATAGTACATTTTTAGTTGTCATTATTATTCGTATGTCACACCTATGAATAATAAGTACACTTATGTCTTAATTTAAGAAGTATAGGTAGTATCTATAGACTCCATCTTCCTATTTTTGCCACCTATAATATTGTTTTATTGTGTGTGTGTTTATGTTTGTTTGTATGTGTGTGTGGTTCTTTTTACTATAGCAGTATACTTAAAAACCTTTTTTCTTTTAAATAAGGAATGCTTTATGAATTTGTGTGTCATCCTTGTGCAGGGACCACGCTATTCTCTGTATTGTTCCAGTTTTATTCTATATGCTGCCAAAGCGCACTTACAACTTTGTTAAATTTAGAGAGTGTAAGGAAAGATTCTTTCTTATCTTCTTTGGTGATGCAAGGAGAGCATTCCCTGGTCCACAGCGATGATCAGTCTTCACCTCCCCTAACACTGACGTCTGACTGGCCCCAGCTTGGTCTCGGTTGTGAAGTATCAACACACAGCTTCCCTCCAGAGAGAGAACAACTTGATAAAATGGTAAAATACCTCCATCTGCCAAGTAAATTGCACGTGTTAATCTTATACTTTTTTTTTATCAGCTTAATCTATTCTTTGGCATCCATGGTAAGTAAATGGTTTTTATTGCCATAAGATAAATGGGGGGGGGGGAATTAGAGTCTCTTGCATTGAAACTAATGAAGTCCTTAGAGAAACGGGTGATTCATGATTTTGCGCCGACTGAGAAAATGCTATTATGGCCAGACGCATTTCACTGGTTTCGGCTAAGAAATGCCACTGTGCTGTTTTCAAGGTTTATCACAAGGTCCTGGATAGAGAATGTATCTTAAAACAACCCAGCAGTGAATACTTCCTTATATAGTCGTCTAACATTTGTAGACTTTTTTTCCCTCTTAAAAGTTTAAATGTAATTCAGTGTAACTTCTCACAGTCAAAATCACCACTTCCCTCAATTTTCTCATTACTCCATCCCCAGCCCGCAGCTCACAGTTAATTGGTAGAAGTCCCCCCTCTTTTGGCTGCTGTATCCACTTCTCTTGGTCCTCTGTGGCTGAAAATGGAGGCCCCCACTTGGGTGCTTGGAGAGAGCAAGGAGCTGCTACTCCCTAATGGAGGCAGCTAACAAATCAAACCCAAAAGTAACAGGGGAATCTCCGTTCAGCTGGTGCCCTGAGGTTAGGGGCCCTGCTGCTACCACCTTCATAAAGACCCCTGCATCCCTGAATTCCTGAATGGAAAAGAGAGGGAAATATTTGCAAATGAAGCAACTAACAAAAGATTAATCTCCAAAATTTACAAGCAGCACATGCAGCTCAATATTAAAAAAAAAGAACCCAATCCAAAAATGGACAGAAGACCTAAATAGACACTTCTCTAGAGAAGATATACAGATTGCCAACAAACACATGAAAGGATGCTCAACATCACTAATCATTAGAGAAATGCAAATCAAAACTACAATGAGGTATCACCTCACACCGGTCAGAATGGCCATCATCAAAAAATCTACAAACAACAAATGCTGGAGAGGGTGTGGAGAAAAGGGAACCCTCTTGCACTGTCAGTGAGAATGTAAATTGATACAGCCACTATGGAGAACAGTATGGAGATTCCTCAAAAAACTAAAAATAGAACTACCATATGACCCAGCAATCCCACTACTGGGCATATACCCTGAGAAAACCATAATTCAAAAAGAGTCATGTACCACAGTGTTCATTGCAGCTCTATTTACAATAGCCAGGACATGGAAGCAACCTAAGTGTCCATCTACAGATGAATGGATAAAGAAGATGTGGCACATATATACAATGGATATTACTCAGCCATAAAAGAAACAAAATTGAGTTATCTTAGTGACTTGGATGGACCCAGAGTCTGTCATACAGAGTGAAGTAAGTCAGAAAAGAGAAAACTAAATATCGTATGCTAACACATACATATGGAATCTAAAAAAAAAAAAAAAGGTTCGGATGAACCTAGGGGCAGGACAGGAATAAAGATGCAGACGTAGAGAATGGACTTGAGGACACGGGGAGGGGGAAGGGTAAGCTGGGACGAAATGAAAGAGTTGCAGGGACTTATAAATACTACCAAATGTCAAATAGATAGCTAGTGGGAAGCAGTCACAGAGTACAGGGAGATCAGCTCGGTGCTTTGTGACCAACTAGAGGGGTGGGATAGGGAGGGTGGGAGGGAGATGCAAGAGGGAGGGGATATGGAGATGTATGTATGCATATGACAGATTCACTTTGTTATAAAGCAGAAACTAACACACCATTGTAAAGGAATTATACTCCAATAAAGACGTTAAAAAAAGCTTTGCTTCTCTCAGGAGTTCTGGGCTCCATGTCTATGTTGCACCGGTCGTCAAGGCAACAACTTCGGGGAATGCAGGGGCTGCTCTGAGGGTGGGGGAAGCTCTCTCAAGGTGCTGAGATGAAGAGCTGGTGCAGATGGATCTTTACTGACAGATTCCATTTCATTCCAACCTGCCCCAGTTTCTATGAGCAGCCACGCCTCAGACCCCCGGTGTGACCTGGAGGCTGGGCGGCTGGTGGTGGCATGGAGCACCCCCTTAGGAAGAGAAGAGATGGAGGGCAGTCTTCTCATCTAGGTTCTCTGGCTGTGCCAGTTGGGTGGCCTTGACTATGAGTGGGGCCATTCCAAAAAAGCATCCATAGGGAAAGCTAGAGCTGTGTTAGTAACAACTGATGAAAAAAATCTGCTCTCTCCACTAACTTTTGTAGATTATAGAATATTTACTACCTCTCTTTGAAAGAAATACAGTAAAATGAACTTTTTTGTTCTGTTTCTTCTTACCAGTGGTCAAGGTCTTTATTTTAACAAGCACACCTGAGTGCACGTCCTTCCCCCACCCCTCCTGCAACAGGCGTTGCTGGTGTCTTGCTCGTATCCTCTCAGTACTCATTTCTACACCCAAAGACTCTCTGCACTTGTTCTGACTGTGGCACATGCTCACTTTGCCTATCTGAGAGGCCAGAAGTGCCGGAGAATCAACACGCCACCTAACAACAGCCTTTACCTATGATGCATGGGTTTTGGTGGATGCCTCAACTTCCTAGGCTCTCAGGTGGACTGGCTCTGAGGCATGTCCTCCAGGGGTTCCAAACGGGATGAAACTCCACTTGCCTTCAGCACTAGCTTACTGATGAAGAATTCTTCATGGGCAACTCACATTTACAAGATATCCCAGCTGGGAAGCGGTGGCTTATCCGAGGCAGAAAGACCTTTCAGGAGGCTAGGAGTAGACATAGGTAGACTTATCAACTCAATCTGAGGAAGAAGTTGGCTGCCACAGATAAATGAGGATGCAATGAATCGACCATGGGTGTAGTGAGTTCTCTGGCTGCAGCAGCATTTAAATAAAGAATGAAAAGTTATGAGGCTGGAGTTTTGAAAAGGGACTCAAACAGCAGCTAGGTAGCTGTAGCTTTAAGAACTTTTCCAAGAGTGAAATTCTCTAGGTAGTGTGCTTGGTGATGCATAAGGTAATCACCAACTCCACCTCTTTGTTTTCTCTGTTCCGTATTTACAAGTGTGAACGATGACCTTGAGTAGATACAGTCATGTCCCTGTGAAGCACTGGGACACACCTAGGGTCAACAGATGTTTCTCTACTCCTCCAAATTCAAACACTTTGGGCTCAGATCACTTGCAAGATTGTCATTAAAGTCTCTGTTTCTCTTTGACGAACGTCGTCTTCACGCCTAGAATATAAACAGGGACCGTGCCATGTCTTCACTGATGTCATTGTCATCACCTTGCACTGTGACTGGCCCATTGCAGGTGTTGGTAGCTGTTTATGGGATGAAGGACAGTGAGCCCTGTGTTTGGCTCTGAGGATACAAAGATGAGCAGGCGACATCCCTTTTTCCTTCAAGAGCTCACATCAACAGATGATTCCTGCACAACATCAAAGAAGGTAGAGAGCAGGGAGGTGGGTACACAAGGGTGAAGGGCATGTCAGGGAAGACTTTCTACTGAAGCTGACGATGGAGATGGCTTAATGTAGTGAGTCTCCATCCTCAGTATGCCTGAGAATCCCCTGGGGATGCTGTGAAAATGCTGATTCTGAGTCAATGGTCTGGAGTAGAGCTTGAGATTCTGTATTTCTAACAAGCTCCCAGGTGACACGACGCATGTGGTCAGCAGACCACTCTTCAAGTAACAAGGTCTTAGAAGGTAATTAGGTTTTCCCCAAACGAGGGGGATTCCAGAAAGAGCAAAGAGCATAGAGACATGGAGATACAGACAGGAAGTGTTAGAAGATTGTTAAACAGTTTGGTAAGGATGGAACTTAAGTTGTATTGAGAAAATAGCAAAAGAGAAAGTATATGAAGAGGACCATGGGCCATAGGTCATAGCTGTGGAATTTCATTGTTAACCTTATTCTTATAGGCAATAGTGAGACACCATATGTTTCTAAGAACAAAGTGGCTTGATTGGCTTGCGATTTAGATGGACCACCAGGTGTCTGTGCAGTGAAGCATGAGTTGGGTGGAAAAACTCAAGATCTTTGAATTATGATCCAATATAGCCATACAAATGAAAGGCAGTGAGGGATTTACCATGGCAAGTGTTGTGGTGATGGAGAAGTAGGGATAGATTCACACAATGTCTGGGAAATAGAATCAACAGTATTGATACAGAATCTGGGAGAAAGTATGGACAGGCTACAGTCAGCCCTCCACACCTTCAGGTTCTACATCTCAGAGTCAACCAGTGGTGGATCAAAAATATTTGAAAAAATTCCAGGGAGTTTCAAAAAGCAAAACTTGAATTCACCACGCACTGGCACTATTTATGTAGCATTACATAGTATTAGGTATTATAAGTAATCTAGAGATGATTTAAAGTATATGGAAGAATATGCATAGGTTGTATGCAAATTCTGTGCTATTTTATGTAAGAGAGGAACATCTGCAGAATTTGGTATCCACAGAAGGTCCTGGACCCCCTCCCCTGTTGACACTGAGGGACGACTGTAGTAAACAAAAATATCATTCAGATTTCTTGCCTGGGAGCTTGAGTGGATGAACTGCAGCATTGACCAAGATACAGAATCCTGGAGAGGAGCAGCGGGCTTGCAGGAAGACAGGGAATTCAGTTATTGATTTTGAGGATCATGAGGAACACCCAGACTTGTGTACCCATGTGCATACACACACACACACACACACACACACACACACACACACACACACACGTATAAGCATGTTGGCCAAGGGGGCGCCAGATGCTGCCTTAACCAAATGATCAAGGTCGACAGCAATGGTGATGAGTCATGCTGGC